GTAATAAGTCAAAATGCTCCCAAATATGATTCTCTGGTTTTCTTCCTGATGATGGACTGCAACACAAGCTGTGATGTAAACACTGTAAGCTGCACTGCTATGGCTCCAAGGTGGGACTACTAAACATTTGACTAAAGTTGGATTCAATCTGATGTTTTTCAACAAAAGCATTCAGAGGAATGTTGTTGTTGTTTTTACTAAACTAAAATACTCTTTGTTTTGTTTTATCTGTAACCATTCTTATCAACTCACACTCATACACACGCACAAAGATAAGACCATATCCTATTCCAGTAGGGAGGATATGGAAAGCACATGTGAAAGTCAGAGTAAGTCGGTCTACACTGCAGAATTTATGGGAACTGCTCTAAAGGTTCATGTGCAGGTCAGTGACCGTATGAGCATGAACCCTGGTGAAGCTGAACATATGTTTTTCTGCTCCAGATGCACAAGGAAATGTTTATGTTTAAGTGCTCACTTTTTTGGCTCTCTTGGCTCTAGGACAGGAAAAAAAGGCAGGGGGGAGAAAATAGGAGGAAATATGTTAAAAGGGGGGCTTACTTGAGTAAGGCAGTGACAGGATGTGAAGATCCTGAGGGAGAGCAGAGCAAAACAAAACTATAACTATGTAAGAGTAAAGGCTCTTGACTCTGAGGACCTTCCCATCAAGCAGATAACAGTCAGGTAACCAGTTAACTAAGCACTTTGTCTTTCACACAGTTAAAAGTGTGGGGGGGAAACCCAAAATTCATCCAATGAAAATGTTAAAACTTAAAATGATTTATTCTGTCTTTGACTTTGGCACCGATGCACAAATAATTGAATAGAATTCAATTATATCTTGAAAACTGGGCGGAAACAACTTCCTGTTAAACTAGGTTCAGGGAGGGGCAACTTGTTCCAGGAAACAACACGAGCGCAACAGTTTTAACCCTTAATCTGCATTTATGTCTGACTAACTGGGGTCAGTGTCTTGTCCAGGGATATTAGGTATGGGATCATGGAACCACCAACCTTCTGATTAGTAGATGACATGACATAGAAGATGACTCTTCCTCCTGAGCTACTGCAACACCACAGGGCACATGTTCAGGACCTACAAATATCACATTTGACCTATATTGAGATTATCTTTGTTCATCGAGATCATTCTATTCACGATCACGATCCTTTCCTAAACAGCACCAAGTATTATCCCTAAACTGACACAAAGAGTGCATAAAAGTATACAAACACATCAGATTTGAATGGG